AATTATTTTATATTTACCAATGAGAAAAATCAATGGTGAGAACACTGGTAATAAACTAATTCTTTTTTTTTAATATTTTCTTTACTATTTTTATTTTATGTGCATGAGTGTACTGCCTGCATGTATGTATGTGAGTGCACCCATGTCGTGCAATGCCTTGGAGGTCTGAAGAGGGCTTCAGATTCCCCTGGAACTGGAGTTAAGGACAGTTCGTAGCCGCCATGTGGGTGCTGGGACTCGAACCTAGGTCCTCTGCAAGAGCAGTTGGTGCTCTTAACCACTGAACCATCTCTCCAGCCCCTATACTAATTCTTTAAAAATGTAAGGTTCACAGGGCTTATATTTTTGTAATTCCATGGTTTATGGCATAGTCTTTTATTTACATCCTACTTTTCATAATTTTGGATGTTTTAATTCAATGTACTATTAAAAAAATGTTGGTTACCAGGCATCATGGTACACACCTATAATTCCAGCATTCAAGAAGCTGAAACAGGAAGGTCTCAAGTTTGAAGCCAGTCTGGTCTACACAGCAGGTTCCAGGTCAGCCTGGTCAACACAGAGATCCAGGCCTGTTAGGGATAGACAGACTCTGTCTCAAAAAGAGAAAAATAGGACTAGGGGTGATGACTTTGTCAGTAATGTGCTTACCTAGCCACGTGTGGTAGTACACACCTGTAACCCCAGTGCTGGGTAGATCCCTGGCTTGCTGCCCAGCCAGCCTAGCTGAATCCAACTCCAGGTTTAGTAACAGATCTGTCTCAAAGAAAAGAGGATGCAACTAGGAAGATGCCTCAGGAGGTAAAAGCACTTGCTACAACTTGATTCCAATCCCCAGAATCCACAAAAAGCCAGATGCTGTGGCTCACAGCTTCAATCCCAGCACTCCTCCAGAAAGATGGAGGTGGAAACAGGAGAATCATCCCTAAGTTTAAGGGCCAGCTAACCTTAAGAGCAGGGCAGCACAAACAGTAAGAAAGAGCCTGCCTCACCAAGATGGAAGGAGACAATCAACTCCCAAAAGCTGTCCTCTGACCTCCACACATGTACCATGGCAAGCACACCTGCACTCACACGCTCACACACACACACACAATAACAAGTAAAATATTTTTAAATAAATAAGATAAATAAAAAGTAATTGAGGAAGATACCCAACATCACCCTCTGGCCTCCAAACAAACACATATACATGCACCAAAAAAAGAAAAAAGTTAATAACCAACTTTCTAAACAGACTGAATGAGAAACCAATTACAGGAACAGAAAAATATCTTACTTTTAAGGTCTTTTTAAACAAGGGTGTAGAAAGCTATTTGAAAGTTAAGACAATAATGTTTATCAGGACCAGGGACTGCTGTGTCCTTGGGGAAAGCAATGCTTAAGGTACAAATATCTGCCTTAGAGATGCAAACAACTCCGCAGACAACTCTCAAGACAGATATATTCCTGAAAAGACAACCATTCTATAAAAACCACTAAATTATAGGCAATCTAATTAACTTTTCAGTTTCCTCATCTATAAAATGGTATATATGTATTAGAAGTTGTTCAGAAAAGAATTAAATAATACAGCTAAACACCTGGTCCTCTGTCAGCACAGAGTAAACAGTACTGATTTTTTTTAAGAAAACACACATTTAATAATGTACTTTCCCTTCGTTGAACAGAATAACAACTCGAGATGTAACTATTAATATTTAGGTGCAGCAAAAGTAAAAATGAGATGGACTAGGCAGATTCCCAACATTTTAATTCTCCAAAACTTCTAAAGAGCAGGCAAGAGCCTATTTATTCATCATGAAAAGTATTTTAAGGGAAAGGAAAGGAACTGGTATCTCACTCTCTCACTCTACCTGAAAAAGGAATGTGGTAAAGAGGAAAAGGAACGGGACTTTCCGTCTTTCTACCCTGTCACTGACTACACTACAAACACGTACCTGTGGCAGACCTAACCAATGACTTTAAAAATCTCTCAGGCCTACACTTCCAGACAGTATATCAGTAAACTATTACTATAGAATTTAGACTTTCTTTAGTGATAAAAATTCAAGTGATTCATGTTTGGTCATCCACCCACACACAGCACATTCTGAAGAACAGAGGGGTCTGAAACCTCCTGCCAAAGAATCTTCACACACAGACAACTAATCGTGGACTACATCACTTCCACAGATTTCTGTTTATCATCCAAAGTACATTAGGTTTAGGGGGAGGGGGAAAAAAAAGCTAAAAAGAGAAGTTTTCAAGTTTCCTCTTTGCAGAAAAGGAATAGATGGATTTGTGCTTTACTTGGAAGCTCCCTGATGAAAAGCTCCAACACCAAAAATGCTGAAGTCGGATGATGGATACAGAGCTCACTATACTCTTCTATGTTTTAGCTATTTGGCCATTTTCTATTATACATAGTTCCAAAATGGGTGTCTAGATACGTCTACGGGTATTTATATATGAAGTCACAATACAAAAATCCAGTAGAGAAATAGAATACTGTTTGATATTTTCATACTTCAAAAGTAAGTGAATTTCACTTAGCTACTTTCACATTCTAGAATCTTTATTGCAAATGACCAGACTACCAGTAAAAGAAGGAAATAATTAACTGCCCTGGAATAAAATGAGTTTAACCTTGAAAATATAGTGGCAAAGAAAAAAGTTGCTAAACACTCATTTCAACAATTGCACAGTTATATTTGGTACCATGTACTACCTTCTAATACAGGCTTAAAGAAAGAGGGGGTAGTTATTTTAAGATCATATTCCCGTCTAGTCTTTTAAGTTGATAAGCAACAGAGGTTGGAATTAAAAAGTCTAAAAAGACTCCAGTAAAGGTAAGTATTTCTAAGAATGGAATAGGGGGAAAAAAAGTATCTCACAGCCTCTTTTTTAAAGTAACATTCATAGTTCATCACACGATAAGCAAAAACTTCCAATAGCCAAGGATGCTTTACTGCTAAACATCAACTTACAAAAACATAAAAATTATACTGTGTCTGCCTCAACCTTTTGCAAATTGTCACAAGATTACTTTATATATAACCCTAAACTCACCCCAAGATTTAACCTTTGGTTATTTCTAAAAACAAAAACTGGTCAAATCAATACTACAAACTTAAAATAAATTAAGTTTTTATTAGAACTATGAAGATGAACTTTGTGCTTAAAACTACAATAAAACATGAGTTAGCAAAGACTTGCATTATCTCTCAAGTCCAAAAGAAAGCACAAGAACTTATTTAAAATGTTGAAGGGAAATAGGTTTAAATATACATCCCAAGGTGGGGGGTGGGGCAGAATTACGGCCAACTTCACTAATCCACAAAAAAAAAAAAAAAAAAAAACCCACAACCTCCACATCAACCCACATCAACACTTGTTTCCTTAGCACAAAAGTGCTCTGTTCATTCAAAACCTGGAGCATCCAAATTCTGCGGAATTCTCTTTAAACTGAAATATAAGAAACTGTTCATTTAGGTCAAGTAGAATTTCATGTCCATCCATGGAAAAAGCCATTAGTTGGAGGGAAGCACATGACTCCAGCTTACGTCTCACCGAGAAAAGTATATGCTTATAAAATATTCATCCACTTACCAGGTTAAAGACAGTCTCTACAATGTCCCTATCGGACACTTCGCCAACTTCAACCAACCCGGTCAGCACGGCGAATTTCATCCTGATGCCCCTGATGGGGAGCCCCGGCTTCAGAGACAATGCACCCCCTTCCGCAGGGGTTTCTTCTTTCCCTCCACCTCCTCCGTCATCACCTGTTGGTGGCGGGGAAAGGACACGATTGTCTTCACTGGCCATGACTACTTCAGGAGAAAGGACAAGTCGGCGTCCCCCGGGGCCAGCGGCCGCGGCTCTACGTAGAAGCACAGCACAGGCAACGCAAAAGCATGCAGGGTCTGGGTTCCAACTCGGACAAACCCCCAAAGCGGTGGCCGTGGAAAGTCCTTGGCGTCGGTCGCCCTCCTCCTCCTCCTCTCGGAGAATGTTTGTCCAATCTCTCTCCCCGAGGCTGACAACAACGCCAAACCCTATTGGAAGATAAAACATATGTTAAATAGGCTAGGTTTGGGGATGGGTCTTTTTTTTTTTTTTTTTTTTTTTTTTTTTAAAAGAAGGGAACAGAATAGTTACTGCCTGTCTGTCAACTAAGTTGCTCGAGGCACCGGACTCCGCCGGGTTCCGACGAAGGCGGGTCCCCGAGGCCTGCGGGCAGGTTTGCTCCCCCCACCCCGCGCTGGCACAGGTGCACGCCGGAGATCCGGCGCGGGGGCCGAGTCCGTGGTCACCGCGGAGGGAGAGACTTCCTCCTCACCCGCAGACTCCGTCCGGCCTGCTCCTCAGCCCGCCCTGCTGCTCAGCCCGCCCCGGCGCAGCGAGACCGAGGTGGACGCGGAGATCCAGGGCAGGAAAAGGCGGGGGCAGGGGGCGGTGATTCTCCTCAGGGCTCGGCCCACGGGGAGGAGTACAGCACCTCGCCCTAGCACCTGAGCTCCGCGGAGGGGACCCTGGGAGGCGTGTGTTGGGGCTGGAAGGGAAGCCCGACCGACGGGACTGCGCCGTGAGGACCGAGGACCGAGAGGTCCATGCACCTGGTCGCAGCCTCCAGTTTCCCTAGTCCGCTCCCCAGGAGCCCGCGGCTGCACACAACTCCATGGTTTCCCCGGCCCGCCCCACCCCTGCGCTCAGCCTTTGCAAAAGCAGCCACTGCAGGCTCTGGGGACGGCGCGACTCGGGCTGCTGCCGGGGCTGAGGCTGCTACTGTCACAGCTTGCCAGGCCACGGCGCGCGGGGCTGCCCCTGTGCCCACTG